AGTCCCCAAATCTCTTGGCAGTGAAAGAGTTTTGACACAGAAAGTTCCCCAGGAAGGCAGAGGATTTTCTCCTGGGGGCTTCAGGAGCTGGCTGGACAGAGGCATGACCACCTTGAGGCAGTGCTGGTGGCAGGTCCTTCCTGAGGTGCCTCCCACTGGAACTGTCATGGGATACCATAAGCAGGAATTGCTCAGCAGTGCCCAAGTTTTTTCCAGCCTTTGGAAGTGGTAGATCTGGGGACCAAAGGGAGAAGAGCATATGCCTTTCAGATCTGGATTTGGGATTCTTGGGAGGCTTTACAGCTAAATAATTGTAAATGTTTAATAAGCTCCAACAATGTGTACCAATTTTGTATGCAACCTCCTTAATTCTTCATAGAATCATCAATCAGATAATTTTGCCTCTCTTTAAAATCAGTAGAAGATAATGAATTATTCATTTAAAGCCAGCTGCAATCAGTCTCAGAGATCCCCTTCCGGAAGAGTTCAAAGCAATTGCAATATTGAGTCAGGAAGGAGAGAGCTTTGTAAGAACAACCCTGCAAATCAAATCCCTGAAGACGCTTTTACCATCTTTTCCTAAGAGCTCCAGTTGGCCCATCAGCCCTGCTACCACTGGCAAAATTGCTCTGATGGCAACAGTGGCATCTCTGGGATGTGGCAGCAGCAGAGGATGCTGCTCCAGCATCCCACTGTGCCACTGGACAGGCTTGGTCAGTGCAGCAATGCTCAAGCTGCAAAATATCCCAGAAAGTTTCTTGCAAAGTTTTTCTCACTTTGCTCATGTTTTCATGTGGGACCAGGCATGGTGAAACACATTACAGCCCCTTAAAACAGGGTTACATCACCTTTATGAGACACAGGAGCTGCTTTCTGGTCTGGAAATTGTGTTGCCTAATGAATCCCAGTATAACAATCACGCTTTCTCTGCTTGCTATTTTTCTTACACTGTGTAAACTAGAATAAATCACACACGAGTGCTTCTGTTTTCCTAAAAGAAGTACATTGGAAAAAAGGAAATAGTGGTTCATTTTTTTTTTTTCCTCAGGCAATACAGAGATGTTTAATTGGATTGTTTCAGATAGTTTTGGTTGTATTGTTGCATTACACTAACCCTGGATTTTTTTTCAGCAGTGCTGTTGCTCAGTGTTTCTGCAAGCAGAATTGAATGCACACTTAAAATGCTCGTACTTTCTAAAATGTGAGCACCTGACCCCAAAAGAGGGGTTTTAGGAAGCTGGGGTTTCTTATGGGAGAAAAGGGTTGAGAGACAGAATCAGGGTATCTGGAGAGTCCCACCAGTGCCCCAGAGCTGCCTCCCTTGTGAAACACTTCACAGCAGGGTTGTATATTTGCTTGTCACCAGTGTGCACAGGCTTTTTGAAGTTTTGGGGGACTCTTTTTTGGAACCTTTCATAATCTTTTTGTGTCTAGAATACCCAGCAGCTCCCCAGGGTCGGAAAGGCTGTTGAGAGAAATCCTCTGTTTTATTTGTCCTTTAATAGCGTGATGGCTGTCGCCTGCTGTTGGCATACTCTTAGGTATCCGCGCTCTCTCGGATGCTGTGGTTGTCTCCAGCAGCCACTAGGTGCCAGTGCCGCTTTACGCGAGAGCAAGCGGCTGCTGAACAGAGCAAAGCATAGAGAAAATTTTGCGGACTTCGGGCAGCTCGCCAGCGGTTAAATATAGCATCACCCATCGCAGCTGCTCTTCTCTCTCTCGGGCTGCTCTCCCTCAATGTATGGCCATTTGTGCCTCGTGTACGTGCTCGGGAGGCAAGCAGAACTCCACCGTTCTCTTTTTTTCATCGTGGGACATAAGCTGGGATGAATTCGAGAAGCTTGTTTGTGTCCTCAGGCTGAGCCACCTTGCAGAGCTCCTTTGCAAAACTCTTTCCTCCTGCACAACATCCCAAATTTACCAACAGTATTTGGAGCTGCAGAGAGGTGCTAAATTAGGCTCTGACCTGAGGCACTGGAGGGAAAGTGGAGAATCCCTCTGCTGTCTCTGGGATTTGATGCAGGCTTTTAGGATTTGTCTGATCCTATAGTTGTCTGGTGCTGTTTGGATACCTCCCACAGAGGATGTTTGTGTGCAACCTATCTAGAGGTACAGCAGCAGCTATTTACTTTTTAACATCTTCACAACTGGGACTGCATATTCACAAGGTGAGTCCAGGGAACAAGGAACGTCACTTTCCCAGTACTTTCATTAACGAGCCACAAACCTGGATGTGCACAGTTCCCATCTTCTGCAGGTAGCTGGAGCCAGGGCAGGCCAAGTCTCTGGGCATGGAGAAGAGTTCAAAGCAGCAGATCATCTCCATAGAGAGAGCAGCCTACACCAAGTAACCCTGAAGGAGAGTGGCTAGTGGGTAGGGACTGTCTAAGCCCCTCACTGGCACTTAACAAAGGGCAGCCAAGAACTGCAATTTTAGCTGAGACCAAGGTTTTGGGGTGGCACAATAATTTCCAGCTTCTGAAAGGAAGGAGCACCCCATGAGAGCACAGCTAGTGAACAACAGTGATTTGTGGTACCTGGCTGGAATGTCACCCTTCAAAGGACTGTGGTGGTTTTACCTCCCCAAAAGGGAAGTTCAGGTAGGTATGTGATGGGGAGATGAGATTGTCTATGGGAGATTTAGCTGAGCTAGGGGGGAAAGGGAACCATGCAAGCTCAAAGATAAAGCAGCTCCCCTTGAAAGTCACTGGAGACCTTCTGCAATGGACTTCTAGAGGGAGTTTCAGTGGGACATGGGAGATGGTTTCCAGGTGGGATGTTTCAGGCTCTATCCAGCTCCAAAGCTGGACTTGTGTAATCCTCAGACATATTTTATTCTCTCTTTGTACCTCAGATGTGAGGCTCTGTGCTGTAGAGGCCTCCAGGAAAAGGTTGGCTGGAAGAAGGGAGAAGGAAAATGCAGGTTCTGTACCTCCTGTCCTACATGCAACCAAGCATGTGGCCATCTGCTGATTTTTCTGGGCCCTTGATCTTCTGATCCCTTATGGCTCAGACATGTCATAGACTTGTTTGTGGAGGATGGATGTGGCTTTTGGATTTGTCTTGCTATCCACTGGGAACCTACTTCTCTACAAATGAGAAATTATGGTTTTTAAGTTGGGTTGTGGGTGTGAGATTTCTTGAAATATAATTCTTGCTCTCCAAAATAGCTGCTGCTGAGCAACAGGGAAAAAGTTCTTTGTGAGGGGAAATATTTAAGCACAAAAAGGAATTCTGCCTTTGCCCTGATTTCAAATAAAATGAAAGCAGGACATCAGGAAGACCTAATGAGGTAAAATAACGAAACTGTCAGAGCTGCTGCTAAAGCCCAGAATACAGCTGACCTCTTTCTAAGTCTGTAAGAATAATGTCAAGTTATTTTGGTGAAATCTCTTTTGGCTTGGTAGGGAGGCCTTTGGTTTAATGTTGTGTTCTATCAGTAGCAAGGTCTGAGGTGTTTCCCCCATTTTTTGGGCTCAGGATTTCTCTGGAAAGTTCTAAAACCAGAACCCTTTGTACTGGGTGTGGAAGCAGGAATGGCTGTTGCTCAGTCATTTAGCTATGATGGTCTTCAGGTAGCAGGTCCTCATCTTGTTAAAATGACCAGGGCTGTAGCTGCTCTTACCTATCAATGACCTGCCAAAAGGCTCTTACCAAGGTGGGACCAATCCCTCATAGCCCTAAATCATGTATAGCCCCATCTACACCATTATTTCTGCACGTTGCTGTCTCACTGTTGGTATCACCCTCAAGACATCTTCATTGGGATCAGATGAGGAGCAAAGGTATTACCACTTAAATAAATTTATAACAAAAGTGATTCCTGCAGCATCAACAGATAAATAAATGTTGACCAAACAGGTGGTGGAAAAAACCCTAACCCCTTTATTTCTACTTAAAATTGTAGAAGTCTAACATTGCTAATTTTCTGATGTGTATGTATGCCAAGTGTCACCAAAGTGCATGTTGAAAACACTCAGCATTGTTGAGCAGCTTGTCACCTTGCCTGTTTGACCTCAAATCGATCCCTAGAGAGCAAAGTATGCTCTTATTTACCATGCACTGGATGACCCTTTCAGATGAAACTTGGGGTATAAAAGGACTGAGGCATGTATGTTTGTTTAAAAAGTTTTAATGATATTTCAAAGTCCAGTTAATGTCCTTGGATTACTCTAGAATTACAGACTTGCTTCACAGAACTTAAGGTTATAATTTCCTTGTAATGGATGATTGAGATACCATTTCCACTTCATTCTTTTTAAACATACATGATCATTGTCCAGTAAATGGATAGTGTGATTTTTCACTACACTTCATAGTGTTAAAACTCTATACAAATATTGTACTATGCGTACAAAAATAAGTGCTTCATGCACACACTTTTTAATACTGCTTCTTGGCCTTTTCTTTGACATCTTTCTCAACTTACATAAATAGCTGAAAAAGCAGACTAAAGTTACCGAACATGGAAAGTGAGAAACACTTTCTGCCAATGGTAGTCTTTTAGAGAGAGAAAGACACATGGATATGTTAACTCATTGGCAGTCAAACACTACTTAAAAGACATAGAAGAGAAAATAAAGCCATACTCATAACACTCTCAGCTATTTTGCCCTGAAAAAGACAGGTTTGTCTTTTTCTGTAATGGCAAGCATACTGAACAGCAACCACAGAGGGCTTTAGGATCACCTTATTGAGCTACTTTATAAATAGAAAGGGTCTAAAAGGACTACAAAGTATACAGCTTATGTGTTTTTGTTCCATTCCTAGTGAAATCAAGTCAGCCAAAGCATGAGAATACAAAAACCGTACCTCTTGGCGGTCAACACCTTTTCATGGACCATTGTGCTTTTTACAGCTTTGGGGATGCACGGGAAAAGCTCCGCATGAAATGGCTTGTGCAGTGTTATGTTACACATTTTAGAGTGGATGAAAAATGTGGGGCCAGATCTGTTGGAATCAATGGGCATCATCAACCTCGTTGCAAATTCTCCCCCTAAACTGAGTAGATTAAAGTTTTCTTAGTGTGCATTACTTTATAGGATATATTAGACAGGATTCAGCTGTCTGCAGTATTTTTCTAACACTGGGTTTCCCCTATATCTATAGAGCATTATTACTCCTGCCTCAATCTGATGGCAAAAAAGAACAGATAATGCCTTCCTGCTGTAACCTAAAGGATGCTTACTGGTGTTCTCCAAAATAAGAGGTACCTTTACTTGACATGAACCCTTTTCCACTAAACTAAGTTTTGCAAGAATTGCAGCAACCAGAAGCCTTGCTTTAATGTGTAAAGCATCACTTACAGCCAGGCAAGCCTCTTTCTATCCTGTCAAAAAGGTTCCCTGTATATAATTTAATTCTTGTGGAGGTGCCTTTTACTACTTGGCTGTGGCCTCTTGTGCTCTAATTAAGTAGAGAACTGGCCCCAGTGATAAGTATTTTTCTGGTCCTCAACCTTAATAGTCCTAAAAGTTTTCCTGTCTTTCACTGAAAGTGCCATTTGATAGGAGCTGGGAAAAATACACTGTTACTTGCTGTTTTGTGACTTGTGGGTATGGCTGGGAAGTAGCAAAGTAAGAGGGAAAGCTCTGCTGAATGCTTTCCTCCTGATTTAAAAATCTAATTAGAATTCAAGAGCATGCAGACTAGCCTGTTAGAGGTGGGCAGACACATTTATGATAGTCTTTTTTCCTTGGCTATGCCAAAATGAGTTTAAAAGGTGCTTGAGATGTCTGAACGCATCCCTGTAGCACTGGTGGCACAGGATGCTCAGAGGCACTAAGAGGCAAACTGGAAACCTCCAAATGGCCAAAGGGCAATCTTTGCTTTTACTCATTCCTCTGCCTGGCTTGAGAAATTTTGGGGTGAATGGAGAACTCCTGATGCTCAGAGGGGCTTCCTGGAGACACACCATCCTTCCCCTGTCTCAGGACACAACGTCCGTGGGACTGTTTTCAGCACAGGTTGTTGCTTGTAAACACATACACAATGGACTCTATGTATATATGCATATATATATGTATGTATATGCACACATCTGAGAACCATGCATTTTCTGGGCTGATATTCTGCTTTATAACATGAAAATCTGATTTTGAGTGATTTTTCTCCTTTTTTTTTTCTTTTCTTCTTTTCCCCCTAGTATCCTAAAACTAAAGAACTACAGAAAAGACATTCTGACTAACTTTAGGCAACAGATTAGTTTAAAATCATGAGGGTTTAAGAATTACCAGACTGAGATTTGTTTTCTGCCTGTGCTTAATTTAAGGGAATTTGATTAAAGACAGGATTAAAATGCTCCATAGCCATCACTGCGCGCAGCAACTGCGAAAGCGGGGTAGGCTTCGTAGGCTGCGTATGTTGCTAAATCTTGTCCCATAGTCACTGCTTGCTTGAGCTGAGTGGCTGTGACGGTCGCAGCTGCATTAGCAATGGTATATCCTGTAGAGGAAAAGAGGGGAAAAGACGTTCAAAATTCACCATTGCCTGACAGTTTTTGGTGGGAAGATTTTGCTGTCAATGGGAGCGACCTAGGGAGTGATGAGTTTGTTAATGGGAAAATTCTAATTAAATGAAATAGGTCATTTCTGACGTGTTTTTTCTCTATGTTAGCGGTAATAAAAAAGATGGAAAGTTAATACATTTTCGTACCTATTTTCTGCTAAACACGCTGCTTAAAAAAATCACCTCTCTGTTAAATATTCTTTCCTTAGGCTCCAGTTATTTCTGAGCTAAGAAATACTCATCCTCCCATGCATGATGTGAGGAACGCAAAAGAATGAAGTAATACAGGGGAAATCTGTCTAGTTTTCATAGTGAAAATGTGGCTCTGATACCATTCGTAGTCAAAACACATGCAATTTAGAAGAGCCCCATTAGAAGGGAGGGAAACTCCCTCTATGCAATACCAGGGAGAAAATATTTAGTAAACTGGACTTTTTTTTTTTTTTTTCCCTAATGGAAAATGTGGTTTCAACACTTCCAAATTTTCCATGGGAAAATGTTAGCTTTGCTGATTCAAAATGAATCACTGGGAAAACAAACATTGCTTGGGGTTGGTTTGCCTGAAAGCAGGGTAAAGCAGCTTGTTGAGCAGACCACAATGTGATTTTTGTGAAAGTATCAAGAATTACGGTGAAGCCCAAATTTGGGAAGAGGAGCTGGTTTACCCATTGGCTCTGCTGGACCACATTCTGCTGTCAAACTGCATCTCCCACTGACCAGCTGGGCAATGGGATCAACTCAAAGTCAGTCAGAGCCAAAGTCCTCTCAGTAGGGAGAATGGAGACACTGGGGGGCACTGAGAACATGTTGCTTTGTTGAAGTGTTACTTTAGGGGAAAACATGAGAAATTCACTATAATTTGAGTGGCCACTTGAAGTATCTTTTTTGGTTTTTGTGGTTTTTTTTTTTTTCCATCAGAAAAACTCACCTTAAGATTTTGACAGAGAAATGAGAAATCTGTCATTTCATAGAATCACAGAGTGGTCTGGGTTGGAAGGGATCTTAAAGATCATGCGTGGGCAGGGGCACTTTCCATTAGACTAGTTTTAAAGCATATCTGTCACCATCATAAGAGAAATGATCTGCTACCTGGCATGGCCTGAGCTGAGCAGGGCTTCAGCAAGCCCTTGTCAAGGACCAGTGTGTGTTACAAGCAGAAACTTTAGAGTATGTCAATTTGTTGAGTTTCCAAGACAAATAAATAAGGGTGGATGAAAGAAAAAGGAGAGATTATAATTAAGCAATAAATGGAGACTGTATTCAATGAAGAGCCCATTTGGTTTCCACGCTGCGGAAGCCTGAACAAACCCAGACAAATTGATTTTTCTGTGGCTTTTGCGGACTCCTGTGGCAGGAAGCCGGATAGTTGGGTTTTTTTGTTGTTTTCTTTTTTTAATCCATCCTTGAGACACTCCAAACAGCTCAGTAGTACTGACTAATGCGCTCCTCATGTGCAGTTTGGCATGAGTTGCTTCCACTACATCAGAAAAACTGTTGTGCTGAAGAGCACAGTAAATATAATGACTGTGAGCTGTATTCCTGCTCCCAGCCTGTGTTTTCCATGACTTCCAAAGCTGGTTTTTTTTCAGTTGCAAGAGCTGTTGAGTATGAATTCCCCAAATGGAAAAAAATCCTTCCAGTGGGGGTGTGAGAGCTAGGACCAGATCCTAACTTCCACGGTTGCATCATTCCTTTGGCTGATGAAATCAAAAGTGTTGGTTCAAAAGGAGCTACGAGTGCTGGGCAAGGATGGATTGACCATGAATCAATCAATCAACCGTGCATCTTTACAGGGAAGAAGATCTACTCCATCCTGGGTGGCATCAGCCGGACTGAAACCAGCAGGTCCAGGGGAGGGACTCATCCCAGTTGTTGGACCAGGGACATCGGTTCTGGTTTCTGCATCCTGTCTGGGGCTTTCAGTTTAAGGGAGGCATCCACAAACTGGAAGGAGAGAGGGGACCTGCATACATGGGATGGGGCCCCGAGTGGTGGGGGATCCCTGTCCTTGGACACTGCCAACCAAGCAACCTGCAGTATCTGGGGCACTGGTAGACCACAGACGTCGACACCAGTGCCTCCAGCCTGAGTTGCTCTATGGCATGTACACTGCAGTTTGGGTAGTCCTGAGGTAAATTACTAATATAGGCAATAAAGATGTCATATGCATAAGTAATAAACACGAGTCAAGGCAGAGGTATGTCGGGGAACACAACAATGTCTGTCCTCAGTGGCCCAAACCAGGTTCATTTTTGACATCCACAAGGAAGCAGCAGGAAAAATATTCCACGAGACCTTTGCTTTACAGACCTTCCCATACCTGGAAAAGGTGGTGCTACAGAAGGCACTTCTGCTCCCTCCATGGGAATCCCCAGTGTCTGAAGGGTGTATTCTGCTGCGTAGGTTTTGGCTTCATCAACATAGGCACTGAGCTTGGGCGGTGTGAAGGGATGTCTGTGAGTACAGCAAAATGTTAGCTTGGTTTTTTTTCTCTAGGACTTTCCCGCAAGATGTTTTGATCCACTCATGGCATCCCACATATTAAATGGCAGCATTATTTTACTGTGCTGATGCATTAACAAAAGTACTCTCCTTGTAGTAGTCCTGTTTTTTTGCTGAGTTTATTGGCCCTGGGTCTTATTATGGATATGACATCCTTTCAGAGCATGTTGTGCATTTTCAGTCCAAATGAAAGCCTGTTGAGGTCTGAGCTGTTCTTTAAAATGCACAGCAAACAATGTTACAGGTCAGAAATGCTTAGAATCATATTTCGAGCCAAATTATCAGCATGTTCCTTCAAGCTGCTTTTTTTTTTCCTACAAGAGCTATCATATGCTTGATTTTTTGTATTAAAAAGTGCCCTTTTCTTCTTATTGTTATTATTATTTCTGGCTTTCTGTAATCTTTGCACCATCAGATAGAGAACACCAACTCTGGCATACATCACTATGAGTCCATTTAGTTTGTGGATGCTTTTCTCCCTAATGCATATATAAAAAAAAAGGAAATGGAGACTTCTGAAATTGTATTTTGAGGAGAGATTATAGACAAAATGCCATCCTAAAACCCAGGAAACCTCAGACAGTTACATACATGGTGGGGTTTTGGCTGGCGAGTGCTGGGATGGTGATTTTGTATAGGAAGAGTTGTCTTTGGTCTTGGCCAATTGCAGAGTGGAGCTGGTAAACAGGCTGTCCCCAGTTGTTTTTCTGGCAGATTTCTTCCAAGATCTAGAACGGAGAAAAGGGATTTTTTTCTCAGGTTAATTGCTGTGCAGTAGCTTTCTCACCAAGCTCCAGTCCCTATGCTGGTCTCCTTCCTTCCCCCCAGAGGGTTTTCAGGGGTGTTGTAGTGACTTCCTCAATGGTTTAGGAAAAAAATACAAAATAAATGTCAGACGGGATATTTTTACATTCATCTTGCAGTATAAGATTCACCTAAATAAATGTTTTATACTTTATATATTTTTGTCCTTTTGCTGGTTAGCTGGTTTATTCTGTTATTGGTTTGGTTTTCTTTGGATTCTCCCCAGTAACTCTGTCTGTGTACTTCTACTTAATAGTGCTGAAAAAATAGGATTGCATTCATCTTCACTGCTCTGTTGCCCCCCTGGCTTAGTGGGTTATAGTGCATGAAAAGCCCAAATAGTTGGGGACTTTTTGTGGTTCTTTTTTTTAATGAAAAAAAAATCAAAAAGAAAAAGAATAAAGGAAAAAGAAAAAAAATTAAAAGGGCTGTGTTTTCATCCAATTAATTATACTGGTTTCAGTAATTCATTTCTGCTCTGAGTCTGAGAAAGAAATGCTGAACCATGTTGCCTTTAGCCTTAGCACAGCTTATTCTATGGTAATTGGGAATCACTGTCCGGAAACACTCTTGCTTTGGCTTTGTATTTCTTTTTTAACCCTCCGGGCACGTGCTGTCCAAAATGGGTTTGAGCACAGCATGGTATTCCTGTGAGTGATGCTTAAACCAGTTATTTTTTTCAAGCAGCTCCACCAGGCCTGTCACTTAGCTGAGAAGATGTTGGGTTTGGGGATTTGTGACATTGCCCATGCTGCCAGCTGAGTCGGACCAGAGACGCTGGGTGCCTCCAGCCCCTGTCTTTCTGTGGTCTGCCCTATTTAAAATTTACACTTAATTTTGTCTAAAATAAAAATGTGAAATTTAAATTTCAGTGCTGTTTTTAATTTCATAATTGTAGCTCCAACTGAAATTTAGTGCTTTGTATTGTAAGTAAACTAGTTTATTATGTTTCTTGACTATGGCAACTATTGTTTGCTGCTGTCCCAACACCTTTATATGGATGTTGTATTTATACTGTAATGTCAACATTTAAATCATCAGTAAGGCAGGTCTGCTTATTAACTCCAAGCATCTCATATAGGCAGCAGGAATAAAACCTATCATTCAAAGATGCTGTTGAAATGGTCTTAGTGTAGCAGATGGGAGAGCTTGACCAAGTTGACAGGTAATAATGAGGCTGTCCAATTAATGAGGCTGTTGTGAAGCCAGCTGTGGCTGTATAAGATCTGCTGTTGTGCAACAGTAGCAGTGGGGGATCAGATAGCTCAGCAACTGGGAAAATGTGCCCCCAGAAACTAGTGCTGCAAGTGCCTGTTGCTGTTACTGCACTATTTTAAATACACCCAGTGGGAGTTTTCATGTATAGGAAGAGATAAAAATGAATTTTACCTGCTCTTAGGCAGTGCAGCACCACTTAGGCTCTTTCAGCCCTCATATGCTGATAGAGTAAGGGAACTGAAATTTTGCAGGGTGGAGACAAACACTTCCCACTTTTCTGGGAGAGAAAAGGATGTTTTCATTGACTTTGACAAACCAAATGCTGTGGCAATTAAAGTGTTAATAGGCAAAGATATGCTTCAAAATTCAGGCTAAGCTTAGTTTCTCTTATTGCTTTGGATGGTGTAAGAGTGATTTTGTTCTGGATTTGTTTTCTTCAGCCCTCAACCATCCATCTGAATGCCAGCCCTGCACACACAACCACATCGAAAGTCTCCTTGAGCAAGCAGAGTTTTTGCCTGGGGCTGGGTTGTGCAGGCAAGTCAACATCTCTTTCCCCATAAATGATCTTAGGACATACATTGTTTTTCTATATATGCACATTTGTTCTTTTGTGAGGCTCCAAGAAGAGCATCTTATTTATCAAACCCATTTTGTGTGAGAATTTCCTTACCCTCAGTGCTTTTATGGAGCAACAGCCACAGTTAAATTTCATCTTACACCTGTGGGTATTAATGAAAACTCTCCTCTGAGGAAGAGGGAACACTCTTCTTCAGTGAGGTGGGTGGGTATTGCAAGAGACATCTAGTTGTATTTTGCCTTTTTAATGATGCAAGAATTGATTTAGTTATTGGTCCCCAGTGTAGATTCAAGCAGGGAGACATTTTCCCAAAAGCATTTTGGGCAAAGACAACCGCTGGCTGGGATATTGACACCCTATTTTATGCACGTACCTGAGGAGCGAGTTTGATCCCTTGGGGCTTTAGCGTGACATGGTTCATTGGTGTGAGCTCCATTCCTGGCAAAAGGTCGTAGAGCTTATCCTCTCCCCTCTTTTCTCCTTTGAGCTGGTATCCGCGGCCCAGGCCCGTGTACGCCAGGTAGCCTCGACCTCCCAGTCCTCTAACTCCCGCAGCCCCTACAGGTACATTCATGTAAATTTCTAGGAATGTAAGAAGGCATTAAACTGAATCAAATTGCAGGAAAAATTGCCCTGATTCTTGCTGAAATGGAAAAGTTAGCCCCACTTGCTAAGTTTGGGAAGTGATGGCCAAGACACCCCCATAGCCTGCTGATGGAATAACCCAGGCTTGACATTTACACCCTTTCTTTTTGGGCTTGTCTGCTTGGGCAAGTGAGGGTTTCTTTGTAGTGAGGGCCCTGATTCTTTCTGACCCATCTTCTCTGGTAAGTTTTGATTTTCTGACACCTTTATATTCCGATTTGTAGTTGAAAGGCTGAGAGGGGACAGTTGTCATCGCTTGCCACAGCCGGTATAATTTCACTTTCTTGAAGAATTCAGAGTTTATACAATCCTAGCTTATATTAACCAAAATCTTTTTCCCTCCATGCGTTCATTACACTCCTGTTTTTTCTAGGGGAGCTGTACTTGGTAGTGTGTGGAGGCTTTAAGATCTGGTGGGTGATCACATCTGCACCTTTCCCAGTGCAACCTTCACAGAAGCTGGTTTCACCTGCGTGAGCAAAAACATGGCTGGCAGCATGCTTCCCTGTCCCCTTCCTTTGTAAGAAGGAAAAACTGTTGGCATGGTCCTTGCCAGCCCTACTGGCGTGCCATGCAGGGCTCCAGGCTGCCATGAGACCAGCCCTTTAGCCTGTGGACACAAGCTGACTGTCACAGGCATCATCTCTGAAAGGAAGATCAAATAGGCAGATCTATTTATTCTAGCCCCCAAGCTTACTTCTCCACTTACCAAGTGACTCCTACAATTGCATTTGATTTGGGGGTACCAAGGTGTGAGTATTTGATTTGGTCTCAGGTGCTGTTGCTCGAGATCAAAGGCAGAGCCCCAGTAGCTTTCAGAAATACTCTGTTTTCACAGACTGCTTATTATTAGGTTAATGATCGCCCTAAAAAGAAGTCCGTCTCCCAGAGCACATGATGAATGGTTTTCTTGATTTCAGTGCTGGTTCCCTACTCTGCATCAGGGCAATGTGATCTCCTTGGAAGGGTTTTGGGTCAGAAAACACCAGGACTGGTAAAACTTTCCCTGTCGCCTTCAAAGCAAAGAAGCCGAGGAGAGCTGTGTTAGGGCAGGTTACAGACTCTGCTCTGAAGGGGAGAAAGGAAAATTATTTTGTTTGGTCTTTCCTGCTGGGGTAAAACCAGGAGGATTTGTAGTTTATTTTCACTGGATCGAGGGCAACATGGAGGCTCTTTCAGGCTTACTCCAGGAAAATGTTTATTTTCTTCAATCCCTGCTTAGTCTATTGAAAGATCACCACACCTTTGGCAAGTACAGAGCCCAAAAACTGTGCTCTGAAAGGGGTCCAGCATCCAGGTCAAAGCCAACGCCCTCAACAGGAGTCTAGGGAGCAGCCACCCAAGTCCCAGAGGAGATATTTTGCTAGAGCTGAGTATACGGCAGTTACCTCGAATGGATGGGGGCCGGATGATGCTCCTGTTGCTGAGCCCCTTGGTGGTGGGGAAGTGAAGGTTGGGGATAGCTGCATAGGCTTGGGGTGCGTAGAAAACTGGGGCACCCAGGTAGGCGGTGGCGGGGTCGTACACGTGTCCGAAGGCGTAGGTGTATTCTCCTTGTAGCATGGTGCCTCTGCCGCCTGTGCCCCTGGTGTATCTGATATAGCTGTCTTTGTCAACAGGTTTGGCTAACGTCACCTCAATTGGGGACCCATCCACCACCTTCATGCCAGGAGAAGCACAAGTGTAAGTCTCCAAAGTGCACAGGGGTTATCCTGCCTAGGGAGGCAGTTTCCCTGCATGGCTTGCTAATGGGATTGGAAGACGGAGAAAACTACCCAAAAAAGCAAAAAATCTCCCTCTCATGTTTGGAAGAAGGCTCTGGCTGGGTAAGCTTAATATGTTGAGAACACCCAACCCTGACCCCAGCCAGGAAAGCTGAATTAGCACAGTTATGAAGCCTTTCAAAAGGCTTCAATTCTCTGCAAAGTAGCATGTCAGTCACTGAGATTGTATGTGCTCCTATGGAGAATAGAAGTAGCAGTAAAAATAGGAGCAGGGTTAACACTTCTCTGGGAACAGCTTTTGCATTAGAGTGCCACGAATTACATGCAGTGCAAAAGTACTAAATACAGCAATCCCCTTGCAAATCCACATCTGAATTTGGAGCAGATGTTTTGGGTTGACCTTGTTTGTCCCACTTTGCCATTCACAAGCTGTCCTGGGAGTGTTTTTGTTGGCAGACATGGAACAAGGATGTGAGTGTGCACCAAAGGATCCCGTAACCCCTCATTTGCTAGTGCTTGTTTCAGCTTTGGCTCTGCTTTTTTTTTTTTCTTTTTTTTTTTTTCTTTTTTTTTTTTTTCCTGAGCAGTGAACTACAATCTGAGCTTGGCAAACATTTAACACAAATGCAAGATGTAAGAAGCCAAAACGAACAGTTTGTGTACATCAGAGATGCTGAAAAATGGATTCAAGTGTATAAAGGCAGCCTGCAAAGAGAAAATAGCACTAACATCTTCAGGATGTTTTTGTAGCTAATAAACCAGGCAGGTTTGTTTCAACTGTGTATAATAAACTGCACATAAACCCCACAAATTAGCATTTACAGCAGCTTTACCTTCCCATTCAAGGCTTTCATAGCTTCCACTGCATATTCTCTTTTGTTAAAGTGCACAAAGGCGTAGTCTCTAATTTTCTTTACTCTCTCTACTGCACCTGTAGAAAATGTCAGAATATTAGCTGGAAATGGGTATCAGGTAGAAAATACAGATCTGGAAGAGCAACTGTGGTGAGTTAGGAGTCCTTCAGCAAAGGCTGACCAAGGGTAAGAGAACAAGAGGAGAGTGTCTTCTTACCTGTAAGGTTGTATTTGCCATGGTAAAAGTAAATATATAATGGTTACAGTATTTCAAGGCAAAATAGAAATAGTTTGAGTCAGACACCAATAAGTTTCCAATTAAACTGGAGTGTTTTTTTCCAAAATGCTCTATTGGATGTTAATTTTGGTCCTGTGTCCCCCTTCTGTGACAAACCCGATGGCTGAGCAGGACATGCGACAGCACAGGATTTGGTGAGCTACAGGTAATGTCACCTTGTTATCCCTATCTCCATGGTTTTGTTGTTGCATTGTGCATAGTAGTTACAGGCAGCTTCAGGAAAGCTGATGCTTCTGCCATAAAACAAGGAGGCTCTTAGTCATCTACTCAGGATGTTCAGCAAGAATGAGCACCCAGTCCTACCTGTGAAAGAGCAGCCCCAATCATGTGGATTGGGTGGGACTGATGGAGCCCCAGGGCTGGCCCTGAAAAACAGCCTTTCCCATGTGAATGGGGCATCCCTTGGACAGGCCTCCAGGTGGTGGGGGATCCACCTTCTCAGAGTTGTCTTGATTTGCTTGGACACAGCCTAAATCAGCCTAGTGCACCTGCGATGTTGGCCCCGCAGGCAGTGGGATTGGGCTGGAGACCCCCACCCTGGTGTCTTCAGCCTGATTCTTTCTTATACTTCTGTGATTAATCAAAATAATTCAGATGTAAATGGTTTCTTATTCTCTTCTATATCCATCCTCTACAGCTTTCCATTGTCATTTGCTCTGCTCCTAAGAACTTCTTATCACTGAGATATACAACACTAATAAGTTTGTCTTCAGAATGACCATGCTAGTCCTATTCCCCATGGTCACAAGCTTTAGATGTCTGCTTTTTCTAAGTGTTCATCTTCCATGCTCCTATTGGTTGGGAAGCACACTGTCAACCAACCCAGCCACCAAAGCTGTAACACCCCAAATACATACTTTGGATATATGGCTAAGGGATGCTGAACTCTTCTGTTGTCTTCTTACACTTTAAAGCTGAACAGGTGCACATGGAAATGTCATATTGCTGCATAAAGCACTTACTTAAATAACTGAAGGAGAAGATATATTTCTTTGGAGTTCAGGGGGAGTTATTAGGAGCTCCAGTGGGCTAAATGAAGTCTGTTCCAGCCTATAACCTGAGCAGCTTGCACATCTTTGAAACGACACCGGAACAGTAAGCAGCATTTCATTTCCTTCTGGGATTGGATGGTGATTTTCTAAGCCTGAAGTTATGGGAATTATATGCTGATGCCTTGTTTACAAGGCAAGGCTTTAATGAACTCTCTGTGTTTTGAAAATCCCCCTTTTGCCACCTTGAGAGAGCCCTGTGTTACCGATCCTCTCCTCAGCCAAAAATCTTGCTCTTCCCTGCTTCTGCCTCTGCTGGGGCAAAGCAACGTGTTGTTATCAGAACAGCTTCTTAATGCCTTGGATCAAATGCACACTTCAGGCAAGCGCTACTGAAATATAGCACAATGAGTAAGGCGGATAACCAGTGTGTGGAAATGAATCTTTTCAGATCCTTGCTAACTTTTTTGACTGTAATCTCATTGTGACTTAAATTGCATTTCTCTCTCTAAAACTCAGGTTTCGCTGCTCTAATGCACATTTGTTTGAATGCACAGCACAGCTTTAAAAAAGGCATCCCTGATTTTATCCACAATGAAGTTCTCTGAAAAACAAAAATAATTTCCAGCATGAGAAGTGAAATGATAAAGTGAAAATTAATGATGATGCTGATCTGCTGTTGTACTAGAAAACTTGTCTTAGGAGCAAAGCAGATGACTGCTACTGACGTATCAAAGGGGCATAAAATGTGTTTCTGGGGAGTCTGAGCAGTTCAGTGCTCAGGAGCAAAACTGGGCAAATAAAAGAAGTAAACAGTTAAGATAGTGTCAGGATCCGTATTTAACCCCTGGGTAAAATGGGATCTCAAACAGCTTGATGGTGGGTGACATGGTCTAGTGTGAGGTGTCCCTGCCCATGGCAGGGGGGTTGGAGCTAGGTGATCTTAAGGTCCTTTCCAACCCTAAGTATTTTATGATTCTGTGATTCTATGGTGATTTAAAGTATTAGCCAGAAACACTAGAAGGACAGAAGAGACACATAAGGAAACTCAATAAAGTCTCTTGCATTGCAGCCTAGTACAGAAAAAGAAATATATAGTGCAAAAATGAACAGCTAATGAAGGAAAAATGAAACTCTGTGGTGTATTTTAAAATAATAATAGAAAGTAGTTAGTGGGAATAAGATGAAAGGCAATTTCACATTGCCAAGTATAAGTTACTAATGCCTAATGGACTGTGTGGCCTGGAGAGATGCAGAAATAGGTTATTTTTACATTGTTGTTTTGGGGAGGAATTTCCTAATGCTGGAGCAACTCAGGCATAAATTCTCCCTTGAAAGCAGTAGGTTTGTTCCCAGCAAATCTGCTTCCTTTTTGAAAAATCTCACCCTAAGTGTATGTAAGTGTATGTAATATATGCCATGAAGGCTTATTGTCAAACTCTGCATTAAATGATAAGCACTAGTTATTAAAAAATCACAGAAGAATGTGTGGGGTTTTGTATGAAAATGTTAGAATTCAGAATTTATATAGATTATATAAAACACATTTGTATTTCTGTCATCATCCTTTGCTATAGAAGAATGCTGAAATCACCAAGCTGTTTCACCAACTCTCTAAGAAAGACTGAAAAGGTTCAAAACCATTTTTGTGATGCTAGCATCCCCATGCAGCATTTTGGACCTCTTCCAGTTACCAATCATCCTAAAAAGGTTAGTAGTGTTGTTAGCTGTAAATTAGGCAGCCTTAACGGGATTATATGATGCGCATGTTGGGCGAGAGCCTTCAGCATAATGACTATTTTTGTGGCATTACACATGAAGACCATTTTTATCTCTCCCTTTTACATTTTATGAATGGAGATATATTTCCATTAGCAGTAGCAGTACTTATTTAATGTCAGTGGGTTCCTACCTGGTTTGATGTTGTTGAACTCCTTTTCTATGGTCTCTTCAGTGGTTGAGAGCATGAGATTCCTCACATATAGAATTTTTACAGATGACATGGTGTCCTCATCCACCTCCACTTCAGGTTCTGCCCAGTCAACTGCAATAGGGTGTCCCCACAACTGGATCCTTCCTTTAAAGGAATTAGCATTGTCAGTGTCAAACAGGATTTGGTTCCTTTTACTTCTGCTCAAAGACTAATTTAACATGCAGTATGAACAGCAGAATAGGCCAGTTTTGCAGACAGGACCAAAAGAAGCCTTTCTAGCTCAAAGCACGGCTGCTTTGTTAACTCATTTCCAAAAGCAGATGGTCACACTTTGAACATATTCCCACTAATAACTATATGCCTGCAGAAATGCAGCATCCAGAATTTCAGAAGTGAAAATATGACATAATTCACTCAACATTCCGTGTTCCCTGGAGTGCTCTCTAAAGGAAAATATTTGAATGAACTTATAAAAATCCCTCTTGTCTGCAAAAGTTTAATTCCCTAGATAACAGGAAAGGAAACCAGTAGTCTCAGCTGGATGAAATGACATTGGAAAAGCAAGGGTGTCTCTGTGTGCAAGTATTTGAGGTCATGTGGTCCCTGCTGGGTGAAGCTGTGGCAGAAGTAGTATAAACAAGAGACTTAGAAAGCAGCAAGGCATAAAACGGGGTATGGGTGTGTCTTAGCAGCAAGTGCTAGATGCTCCTTCCAAATAATTAAGTAAAACTGCCTCTTCTGCAAATGTGCCTCAAAGAGCAAGTGGGTCTTTCTGTAGGGTGGTTTTTTTGTTTGTTTGTTTTTTCCTCTGATCTTTTATGCTAAAACCTGGAAGAAACCTGGGGATGCCTATGCTGGTAGAGGGAAAATTCTAATCCTGCAAAATGTTTCTTGAGAGCTGTAAAGAGTCATCCAATCTTGCATCTCCGCTTGGATAACCCATTTGAGAAGGGATTTTTCTCATGATAGAGAAAATTAGAGGGTGAGGATAGAATTTGGAGTCCTGTTTTTCTATGTTTGAAGTGAAAATTATCAAACTAAATAGAGAGAAGCTGCTCCCTGCTAAGAAGGCTCATGAACAAGCTGCAATTTGTGGCACCAAGTTGAACTGATGTTCAGCTTTCAACATTGCTCAGTCTGACTTGCGCTGTTAATGACCAGAAATGGAGAGATTGCTGCTAATGGCAGGCAGGTGAAATGAAAGGCCATCTGCCCCTTTCTGAATTGCCATTTTCTGTTCAATAATGGAAATAATGACCTGGTTGACTTGCAGCAAGGAGCGAGTGCCTGCACTAGCCTCTTGCTAAAACCCAGTCTTCCTCCACCCTCTTGTTTAACCTGGAGACAGGACAAAGTTTTTAACAAAAACATCTTTGTCTTTGAGCTTTTCTGTCTCTTCTACAAAGAGCCCTTAAAGAGCAATGAGTTCAGAATAAAGGAAGCATCTTGATAACGATATTCAACCTCACAATCATCCGATGCATTGGCTGGAAACACATTTGGTTCTGGCTTGAAACTTCTTTCTGGTTCCTCCTGTATGTTTGCAATATGAGAGGACTCTGGCTCCTGCTCAGGCCATTGAAATTCCCCCAAATGTTTACTGAGATGTCCCTAAATTGGAAATCACTAGCACATTGCACATCTCTGTTCAGTGCTACATGTTTATTCCATCTCTCTCACTGGCTTTGCTCAGAATTTCAAGTGCTCTGCTCCCTCAAGGCTGTCATCAGCAGCTGTGGCTGTGCTCGTGCCTTCCTTCATTCTCGATATAGAAACTATGGAAAAGTTATGTTGAAGCACAAACCAGCCGAATGTTTTTTGTAATCAAGGAGATGCTAAACTGATGCAGAAAACCCAGAATAAAAGGAAAAATAGTCAGTGTGAGATATCCCACAATAGCTAAGCATATTCAGTGCTCATGGTTATGCTCAGTTTCTTACAATAAGAAAAAAAGATTTACATTACTCAGGATGTTTCACGGGCTGTTGTATAAAAAGAACGAAATAAGGTTGGCTGGTTATGAGCAAGTCTCAAAACAGAAAACAGGAGGTTTATTGTTTTTTTCCATCAACAACTGATCTGGGTTTGACAAAGTAGTGCAGGAGCTGCCAAGATCAAGAAAGCATGAGAAAATTGCTGAAATCACTGCAAATGCACTTAAGGTTAAGTGACTCCTTCTTCTAACACCTGCCAAACCTCTCTCTGCTTCACTTTGAATGTTCCCCAGCTCTAAATTGCGTATACTTATTCTTTATACTGTTTAAATCCTAAAGCAATTCCTCATTTGAAGTTTTCTTCCCACATGAAAATATCCATTTTCAGGAGCATCCTCAATATATTCTCAAGACTGAATATGTTTGTGGGTGCTTTCCACAGTAGTTCTCTCCAAGAGGCTATAACTTAGGCTATATTTTGCATATAACCCAAGATAACTACAGGATAATGCACATTCTACAACAGAGCTGTATGGATACACACAGCTAAGTCCATCTAGCTATACTTTTCATAAATTCAAGCTCCTAAATAAAGACCATGTATAATGACCATGGTGTTGCATCAGGATTTGTAGTGAATGGCTCACGCTGCCCCTCCAGAACCAGGGTGACTCCATCAGACAGCTGTGGTGTATTGGGCTCCCTCCTTGCTTGGTCTCTAGCAGCTGAAAGGAAAAAACCCAGTAGTGTTCCTTGGGTACCTGGGTCTTCTGGAGACTTCAGTCTCACTTCAGTGCAATATATACATAGGTGATCACTGATGTGAAGTCAGCCCCTCACCATCTGTACTAACCTGGCAGCAGTTTTCTCCTGGCCATGGCTGCTGCTCGATGGCTTTCATATTCCACAAAAGCAAAGCCCCGATTTTTGGTTTTATCAGCCGCACTAGGGTAGACAATCACGTCCACGACTCCGTCTGTGACTTTCTTCATCTCTGCTAAAATTTCCTCCCTCTTCTTGGTTTTGGGGATCCCTCCCACAAACAGGCGGCAGTTGTCCACGCTGGCACAGACTCCAAGGAGACGCCCGTTCCTGAGTATAAAAAACATTGCTGGTTTGTCAGGAGTCAGGATCAGTTCTCAAAGAGAAGAAAAAAAAGAAAATACCCCCTATCTTGTCCCAGAACACAAGGTCAAACAGAAGGCCGCCTACTTCTGTGGCATATGTTGCTCAGGATATTTAAGTAGTCTTTGTAGTGCAAAAGCTAATGTGGAGGCTGCCACTGTGATAAATGTGAAGTAAGGCAGCACAGTAAAACTTTCCTTACATTCACTTTGCTCACCTTTCCATGGTCCAAGCATTTCTTGCAGATCTTAAGAAGTTAAAAACTTCTTTAGAGGAGTCTTAGGAACAAGGGAAGTAAGCAGAGGAAGTGGATGAAGCCTATTCTTTAAGACCATCCAGCCTCTGATACAAATCATGTTTTCACTCCCACTGTGTGCCTTGTGACCTGCTCATACTTAGGGTTGCTGGTAAAGCAATTCACAACCTATTTTCCTTTATAAAAACAAAGCAAAAGCTATAAAATTGACAGAATGGTTTATCTCTAAATGTTTTTAGGCAAAAGCATCTACTAGTCATACTTTGAACTGGAAAAAAACCCATTAAATGTGGTTGAAATCAAACCAAAACATATTGATAGGCCCATATGTTGTTGATTTCTGGGTGTTTTGTTCTCAAATTTTAGTCACAAATATGAGAGCTTTTTCTGTTCCTATCTATTGGGCAATGTCATTATTTTGCCAGTTGGTTTCCATCCTATTTCACCATTTTTTGTTATCAGTCTGTCTCCCAGAACATATCTGCAGTATAGGTTGTGAGGGAGACTATGAATAGGAATAAAATCAACAAAAAACAGCGCAAAAGGGAACATGAAATAAACAGCAGTGATTAGGCAAAAGTTAATTTGATCTAAAGCAAAATATTTTTCCAATGTCCTGAAAGATCCCTCTTCTTTTATATTTTTTTTTCATAAAGCTTAGGTATTTAAATAATCTTCCTCTGGGCTACAAGGGAAAATATGCCTTACATAGCAAAATAGATTAGTACATATGATTTAAAGTCAATGTGAAGGTTTTTCTCATGCTTACCTAATTTCATAATTATTGAGTTGCTTTATTGCATTCTTTGCCTCCTGTTTATTTGAGAAGGTCACAAAGGCATAGCCCCTGTTGTTGCCATTAAAGTCCATCATCATTCTCATTTCATAGATTTTGCCAATCTGTAAATAGCAAGATAAAGGTTTGTTAGCAAGAGGGGAGGTGTTTAAACAAGACTGGGTGCTTCCTTGGTTATATCATGCCAAAGCTCCACTGAGTAGTGTGGGCCAAATAATCTCCAGTTTAGCCTTGAAATGCAGGTTTGATCATTACTAACTGCTGCAATACAGCTACTGGCCATAAAGTCTTACTTTTTCACATAGTGGTATAAGTTCATCCTCAAAGAGGTCTCGGGGCAGTTTCCCAATAAAGATCTCACACCCCCTCTCTGGTGGAGGGCCATCCCAGCCAGGAGGTGGGCCTCCGTATTTCCTCTGCCCATTTTCCTGCCATGAAGGAAAAAAAAAAGAACAATTAAGATATAGGTTTTTAAATGTAGATGTAACCAACCCCTTCCCAGGGAACGATGGTTTAGACACGCTCTGTTACCGGTGGGCTGGAAGCAGATGTCCTCTTTCCCTTCAAGGAGCAACTCTTTACAGACTCAACAGAGATAATGTAGTGTGCATTGATGCCCCACTGCCATATCTGTACTGAAAGGCTATGTTAACCCAGTTAGTATGTTGATGATGTACTAGAGAAAGGCCTGGTTTGTACTAGATGAGTTTTGCTAAGGTATGTGCATCAATGTATGCTCTGCAATTGCTACTTGTCCAAGGCAGAGACAGTCAAATACCTCCTTAGGAAATGTAGGTTTTCTTGGCTATGGGAGGTGAATCTCTGTGTCCTGTGTGTCAGTTGTGGACTGCTATAGCCAGAAATGAAAGTATGAAAAACCGAAGATAAAGAAAGCCACAGTAAATACAAGATACGGAGAAGTTGGTTATCTTCTGAGTCAAGTACAACAGAAAGCCTCCTAAGGGACAACAAACCCAGCTGCTGTCCTGGTCCTCGGATGCACAAAGAATTAAGGGCTATAGGAAAATGCTTTTTCCCAGGAGTCTCAGTTTTTGCTTTGGGCTGTTGTGCCCTCTAGTGCTATGCAAAGCAAGACAAAGTTCAAGGCAGCCACCTGACTAATATTCAGTGTTTTCAGTAACTTCTTCCATGGTCATATCAGTGTCCAACACTTTCAAAAAATTAGCTCGTTTTTGTCATGCTAACTGACAAAGACTTCTTTAGATGGCTTTTGAAGGGCATGCCCACTCTCTACCACACTAACCAGGGGAGGCTTTGCACTTGGAGACCTTGAAGACTAAACTGGGAGCAAATCTTTGGTGTTTGGGCAAGTGAGGCACCTGCCTGCCTCACATGCACTTGTACATGAAGGCAGATCTGGTAGCGAGGTGCTGGACTTCTATAACCAACTCTGGACCTACTCTTTCCTGAAACTGTCTTCAGTGTGTTTTCTTTGCTCTACTACTACTGCAGCCATGGCTTTAAGACAGCTATCCCAGTCTTTCCCAATGCTTAGCAGTGCTCAGGGGTGGTTTTTTACTGCCCTTATCGTAATTTGGCATCTGGCAAAGAATTCCTGGAGGAATAAGATCATGCTTCATAGAAGATAGCATCTACTTCTTGTAGCTATGTGAAGCAGATATGTTAGAGAAAAATGGAGAGAAGAATGCACAAGAAGCACTTTATGTGTACAGCTTCATTGCTCAAGCCTCTGATGCAATGCATCACTTCAGGATGAAGCCAGACACTGCACACGAAAGGACATGACAACCAGTTCCTACCTGGATCAAATTATATCCCGTTCGCTGAATTAATGCACGGAGAGCGGCTTCTTTCTGTGTGCCGGTCAATCCATCCCCGGATTTGTGATTTGATTCCATTGTGAATGATTATCAGCAAAAAATCAGGTTAATTAGGAGTGCTCACTGCAATCAAATTTAAGATAAATTAAATAAATTAATACAGCTACAAGGAGAAAGTCCACCCTCCTGAGAGAGTTAACAGGATCACTCTTCCTGAATCAGTTATTTTGAGATAAAAAGAAATCAAAACATCGCAGACCATGAAAACAGCAAAAATATCTGCCTCATGTTGCGTGAAAATAAGTAGCATTTAAACCTGCAGTCAGATTTTAGACAGCACTTCAGTGAGATGCAGAGGGATATTGTAACATGTCATTGTATGTGTCTTAGGAGGGAAGCATGTAAGATGCCTAATCTTGTGCTGAGTACGTGATGATGAGTCCTTTATGCCATTAGATCCTGCTGAAGCTGGGAAGGGAACCTTGTACAAGACAGGTCTGGCACTTCATTAGAAACAAGACCGAGGGCCAGATTTGGTCTGTTTTTTTAAAATCAAGAACATGGGACAACTTCATGTCTGTATCTAGGATCAGAGCTAGGACAACCTTGGGTTCAGGCGTTTTGATTCAGAGCTGTAGCTTTAGGTCATGTCTAAATAAAGGTATGGGTTTTTTTATTTTGTTTATTGGATTGAAAACACCATAAAGCTGAAATATGAATCTGAATTGGGTTACACACTGGCAAAGGGGCATTTATAAGACAGACTACCTATAATTTCAAGCTGCCCTATTTTTCCTGCATGCTGAGCTTTGAGCTTGTCCAAAACCCATTTGTATGAGCCAGGCATTGAAACAGGGTCTGCAGGTGCAATGTTGAGCTTGAGGACTTGTGTTGATGGGCAGATGCAGAGCAAAAGTAAGGGCAATTTTAGTCTCCTTGGGTCCTTGTAGCCAGGGCATGTGCTGAGGGCTGGTAGGACCAAGAACTTCATAGTAGGAAAATGCTAAATCATGTAATTGAAATGATTGGTTTTGCCTTACCTTGCGTTCAGTTGTACAAACTTAAATGCAACAGAAGGCAATAACTCCCAGGATTCGTTGGGGAGAAAACAGGGACAAAATGGGCCAGGTTGGGTGTAATGGGGATGGGGGGAACAGAGCAACCCAGGACCCCTCATTGCACAGGGACTGGGAAGTGCGTGGGACTGTGGTGGTGGTGATGGGAAGGAGAGAAAGGAAATCTGGAGGAGCAGACACAGTATGACAGAAAAGTGGAAGGAGGATGAGTTGCTGTGGCTGCACGTTGAGTTAGTGCCAAATTCAGGGGAGATGACTTTAAACAATCTCCCTGTATAGCAGGTTTCTTATAGCAGATAACATGAGCATTGCCAATAAAGGAATGCAGATAAAGAAGTGCAATATATCAGCTACAGTACATTTTCTGTGCGTGCCATGATGCTATGGAAATAACAGAAAAAAAGCCTTTTCCAATAACTGTCTGTTTAATACAAAAATCTTTTATTAGCACATGCTGCTTTTGGGGTTCACTGGGAGAAGAGCTAAGGTTTGACGCTGCCCACTTTGCCTTTGGACATTACTTGCTCTGTGCTTTGTACTCTGGAATCTGTAAACAGGTGTTTTAAATTTAAATAGATGGATTATTCTCATTGCCAAAAAAGGGGCATGAACCCAGGTGCTCGGAGGATCTCAGCCTTGTGTCACTTGGGCTCTGCCGCACTGCGCTCTAGAGACTGCAACCTAAATACCTGGAAATAGAGACATCTCTGTAATGCCAGATATTTTAGCTATTTATTGCTGAGGTTTGTGAGACCCTTCTGATATTTATTTATTTATCTGCCTATCTATTTATTTATTTGTTTTCTGTGCTCCCAGGTTCTCCAGTGTTTCAATTATTACCAGCGTGCAGGGGCTGGAAGGTTGACTGTCCAACGCAATACCTCTCTTCTGTTTAATTACAAAGTGAGTGTTTTCTGCAGCAGCTGGAGCCCGACTGTTGTTTTATTTTGCCCTTGCTGAGGGTGGCAGCAGAACACAGGTGTTGCTTGTGGTTTCTGTGCCTGCTGACTCCTCCAGAGCTGGAGTTCAGCACAGCATGGGGCAGGATTAACACACTGCTGTGCAAAAATGACCTGGATTATTTTCCAGGCTGCTTAAGAAGGAAAAAAGCAGTTGTTCAAAAAACCCCAATTAATATCCAAATCGGTTTTGCATCCTTCCCTGCCTGGGCAGAAACAACTTAAATGCACCCTAGTGAGGAAAACTCTGTCATACTGTGAATTTGGCTTCTTATATTTTGCTTTTGCTTCATCTGGTTTCATCAGGGATTTGAGGAATCAAATTGTAGCACTTGATGCACAATGGTCTGCAAGTCTCTGTTAGCCCTTATATCTGGATTTGAGCCTATCCTCATGTACCTGAAGGCTGGGACAGAGGTGGGACAAAAGGGGATGGCTGCCTGTGCAGGTATCTCTAATATTCACCACCTCAGATTTCCTAATCTTTTTCTTTTCTGTCATCCTTCCCAACAGGGATGTTACCTCAGGTGTCAGAGCAGAGGCAAGCAGTGGGCTGCCTGCAGACAGCAGGCACATTGCCCTGTGCCAGCAGCATCGCCTCTTCATGCTGGGAAAGCAGCTGGAGTGCAGCCATGCAAGCCTCGGTGGCTTTCCAGTCATGGCTGAGGTTTCCAGTCTGTCCCCAGCCGTGACCTAGTTAGATGAATAGTGTAAAACTCTTGTTTCCCCCCTCCCCCCCCACTTCTCCTCCCCTGAAAACTGCTTGGTTTCATACTGCACTTCCTAGGGGCTGGGTGTCTCAGCCGTTGCTGCTTTGAATGCATTTGCCTGTGGACCCTTAAATATCAAAATCTCCTTACCTCTCCTCCAGGAAAAAGTAATTTCCAGTAACAACTCACTCCATGTAATGGTTTCACACTGAGTGAGCACAAGCTGTCGGGATGGGGGATGGATGGAGTAGAGCATCTCTTTGGCTGATGCATTTACAGTAGGAACAGTATTCCTCTTTGGCTTCTGCTTTATTAGATAAGACCAGGCAAGCTCTTCTCGTAAGGCATCCTGTAAACTTTCTAGGCTCCAGACCAGAATGTCTAGACACTGGTGTACTTACTCCAGGATATGTGCAAGCTATCTGCTAGGAATAAGAGCTCAAGACCATTCAGGGTTACACAAGGTATTAAACACAGGCACTGCAACACCAGTGTTGGAGAACTTCCATGCATTTTTTGAGAGAGCCAGAAAAATTGGTTGCCATTCTCTCAGGGTGCGTGTTAATAATGATCTGGCCTTAATCTTTGAGCAGTGCTTCCACATGCTGCTGACTTTGAAGAAAGTCCAGCCTTCCCCAAGGAAACAGCTCTTCCCCGTGCAAGTGGGAGAGTTTCCCTATCCCCAAGGATGCCCCGGCTTGCCTGGACCATGGCCCTCTGCAGGCTGATGAAGCTGTGGTGTTTGTCCAGCTGGAGACTCCCACCCTAGAGGGGTGGGTACCCTGTAGGGAATCTCCAGCCTGAGTTACTCTGCAAGGCTCTGCTCCTGATTCAGGAGGAGCATCGGAAGCCAGGGCTGGACAACACTGCACAGTCAGGGCTTGGACACACATGTGGGTGACCCAATGCACTACCCGGATCTGGCTTGTAGCGCCACTCTCAGAAATTAGGACCTTCCTGCTAATTACAAGCTCTGAGTCATTCACAGCTAATTTCTGAGCCTTGTTGCTAGAGAGAGTTCCTCCATCAGTTGGGATGGAAGCAGAAATCATACTTCTTTTTTTAAAAACGTATAAATCCCAACACAAGAAATCCCAAACACAGTAAAACAGGCTTCCTAGACTCCAATTTTCCAAGCAATTCTTTTCTTCCCCTTCTCTTCTATCTCCCTTGGCCTGAGGACATGTCCTTTTTGGACAGGGCGCTTGCCCATCTCTGCTACCCAAGGGTCCATATCCATCACTGCATACAGACTATTTCCAGAATACAAGTCACAGTGGGATAGTTTGTTTCTGAAACTGGTGTGATTTCAGCATTTTGCCCTTATTCCAGCAATCAGCCTCAGTCCTTGCAGTGGTGCTGGCATGCTGGGCTGTTTTTATTTCTTGTTAAGGGAGGAGAGCTGGTATCACAGAACCTGGGGAAACATGATAACTTTCTCTCCCTCTTTGTTCCCTGGGCCATTAATCGATTAGCAGATCCACCCTCACAGGGGGAAAACTCCCCTTCTATGGCTGCTCTTTGAAAGTGTGAATGACTGGGGCAAATTAAGGCAGTATTATTAACACTATTTAAGAAAAAAAAAAAACACAAAAAACCAAACCAACAGCCACGCAGAAAGAATTGCTTTGGAATTCAGTGATTTTCAGGGGCCTGACCCTTAGGTTGCTTGCTTTTAAAAATTACCATTATGCTAAAAAGAAAATAAAAAAGGTAGTGGTTGCATTTTATTCAGATGTTTACATTGAGATTAGGACTTTCAGAGGTGCAAACTGCCCAGCTATGTTAGCTCATTTTCAACTAAATTTTAAACAATACTACCGAGTTATCATGGTCCCAGAATTTAGAATCCTGTGCCATTAGAAAAGGAAGGTACTGCTTTTATCTTAAATCATATCATCAATTTTTTTTCCTCTCCATTGAAAACTCCCATTTATTATAGGTGTCTATTAAAACTCTAAAACACCAAGGCAAGGAAAAGTACTTTTATGCCTAGCAAACCCCATATTGACAAGAAATAAACTCATAATACTGCTTCACCTCTCCATGACTATTTCTACACATGGTTTCCTTGCCAGCTGCTGCAGACAGATCATATAGGTTTGCTCCATCCATCCAGGAGCAAGATGAATCCAGAGCCTTTTACCTCCAAAATGTGGATTTTACTTTGCCTTTAGGTTATTTGATTGGAAAAGAGGGAATCTGTTCCCCCATTCAAGGAATGTCTCCCTTGAATCTGTGCCAGGATTTTTGTTGAGAGGAATCATGGAATCACAGAATACCAGGTTTGAAAGAGGAAAGGTGATATTTGCAGCCAGACCCTGTTCTCTTCCTCCACCGCTTTTGCACCCTGAGCCTGCCCCTTTGCAGCCCTTTCGGGGAAACCTGGTTACTGTTTCCATGAACGAGATAACAAAAACATGTTTATCCTGTGCAGATCAATACACCTTTGTGTTTGAATGTATTGAGACACTTGGACACATTTCATGAAGGCTGTTTTGCACTGCTAAAACGCCCTGACCCTGTGGAACCGCTCCTTCAAAGAATAACAGCCTTTTTAAGAAATGGATAGTACATTCATTCTTTCCCTTTAGTAACCCAAATAGGTTGTTATTAGAGAAACTATTTTCCTTTAGGTTATTTACTTGCTTTTCAAGGTTTTAAGCGTTTGGGATTTTTTTCCTCTCTCCAGGCTCTATACAATATATGTTCATATATATATATCATGAAGCACTCTTCCTATCCTTCCTAAAAACAGACACTTGAAGCTTCATGAGCTGCCACCAGCTCTTTGCTGGGGTGAGACATACTGTGGGATGGAGTCTGATTGAACAATGCAGCACGAGGTTTTAGTCCCTTTGCTTTCCAGGGTACAGGTTTTTTTCCAGCACAGGTGGTCCCACACAAAGTGGGAACCCCGCAGGTTTTTGCATTAAAGCAAAATAAATTCAAGGTAATGGAAAAGTGCCACACACTTTGCAGTACATGAACCCTGGAAAAAACAGTTTACGTATAAACTGGCAATCGTTTTTCTTAGCCTCTTTTGCTATGGAAGCTGCTTCTCTCTTTGAAATACCTGTCCTCTTGCACATGGCTTTTGCAGCTGTGTTATCAAATACACACAACATGCCCCTGAAAGCCCTCTGTGAGGATGAAGGGTACCTGATGCTGAGCCCAGCCTCCCTCCGCCCCCTTTTATTTGTTGCATCACGTGCTGGATGCTTTGAAGCCAACCTTCCTCCCGTGCCTGCTCCCACCCGAGCCTCTTATTTTGCAAAAGGAAAATAGCTTAAGAGAAGCATAATGTATTGGGCAGAAAGCCTACTATTTTGAATAGATTAGAGAAAATTGAGAGGTTTTTCTTTGGAGCAGTAACTGCCTTTGAAACGGAGACCAACCTTTTGCAAAGAGAAGAAGTTGCAAATAAGAAGTTGGCTGGAAAGATCTCTAATGATTAGCTGTAGAAAGTTGTGCTTTAACAAATCAAGATTGAATTATCACAGGGAAAACCCCTCCTCCCCCCTCCACCTTTTCTGGCTTTGCTTTTCTGGCAACTGCTGGCAATCAGCATGGGAAAAGAAGTAAAAACAGCTCCTTGCTGTTGCCAATTCGCAGAAATTACTCTGAGGCCCCCCAGTGGGCCCTTCTCTCTCCATTTTGCCCATCAAAAAAACAAAGCGAGGTTGTGCAGGACTGTGCTGGCGCATGGGTCCAGCTACATGGTGCAGGGGGGTCCTGGCCTTCCCTTTCTGACCTCACTGGTGCCCAGCAGCACTTGAGGCATGAATTTGATGGTGGGGCACCATCGGGGGGAAGGCACATGATGGAGCTGCTCCTTTCCCATCCCAGCCAAAAGCCCTGTTTTACAGAGGCCCCAGTCCCTGTGCCCCAGACCTTGGGATAGGATGAGCGGGCACGTACCTGAGCAATTTTGGAGATCACCACCCAGGAAAAAGGTCTCCTTGATTATGGAGAGTTTGCGACGTGTCACTCCGGTTATTCCCTAATCATCATATCAAACTCCAAAGGTTCAGCAGCCGTGGGGCTTTTTTACAGTCCCTGCAGGTTAAACGTTAACCTGCTCTATCTCCCAGCTCCCTGCAGGCCTTTGACCAGATAGCTGGGTCACTGCTGCTCCGATGGCACTGGTTTGTTCGCTCTGTGCTGAAGGCATTCCCAGCTGATCCATCCCAATTGCTGCTGCTGCCCCCAGTAGAAATGCTGGGAGAAGGGACACAGCCATGTGCCCATCCTGGCTTCAACAGAAGGTTTTGGCTTACTGGATTAAAATGGCAGGAGTGAGAAATCCCTCTCACTGGTGGCCTTCATGCATGTAGCCTGCAAATGGCACATTTGCAAGATTTGCTATGAAAACATGTCTGAGCAAAGACTGAATATACTTGCAGGGAGGAAAGTCAGCGCAGGTTTTGAGGATGATTTGTTGCACCTGGAAAAGGCTGCAAATAAATTCAGTGGCCATGAATCTCTGTGATGGGTGGCTTCTGGATTTGTCAATCTCTGAGCATCCGATACTGTGGTCCTCAGATTATCATGTTGCATCTGTTGACACAGCAGCAGAATTGAATGTTTGCCTTGGCTAAAATCTGTCTGGACCCTAATAGTATCTGAAATGGATGTCACAGTGTTTTGTCAGAGTAATTTCTAATACGATGCGCAAGTTTAGTATCCCAGCATAAGGATCTGTCCCTGCAATTACATCCTGCTGTGGCTATTTCTCACCTCAATACTGGACCATGATCACACTACAGCCTGTAGGTTTGCCGGTCCTAAAGCTGACCCCTACTAGCAGCCTTAGCCTACACTGATGCTGATCTACATTTAAGGGAGTCTCAGGCTTGGTTTTGAAGCATGTTAAATGAAGTGTTTACAATTAGGTGTTGCTGACGCTTCATGTTTGGAGAAGTGCCATAGTGGTGTTTGCTCAGCTTTAAAAGCATTAGGTATTCCTATGCAGTGGGTAGATAACAGGGGCCTTGCTCCCTCAACACAAACAGCATCTTGCTTCACGATCATCTTCATCTTCATGCTTCATCATCATCATCATGCTTCATCTTGTTCCTCGCTCAGCGCAAACCACTGTCTCACTAAGGCAATGTTGTGCTTACCCATTTTTTGGCCCAAAATCATGATTGCTCCCAAGTAAATGTCTGCTCCCCAGTATCCACCTTTCTGCTGAATACAAAGGTTGAAATGCAGATTTGGGAGCACATTTAAAACAAACAAACAGAGAAACCCCAAAACCAACCAACCAAACCCCCCCCCCCAGTTATGTCTGCCTACCACTGAGCAGAATACCCAAAATGGTTTTGGGGTCTGCTGCTTCTCCTGATCCCCTGAACAGAGCTTGGGCGTGACGGACAGATGTAACATTGGATTTTTTTCCAATAAAAGGGACTTTTCTGTCTTTTATGTGCTGTCCTATTTCATCTGTCTTAAGGAATTGGTAAGATTTGATCATGGGTGACATTACATTTCAGACTCAGTGCTACTGTGCCAGGGAAATTACTTGAAATAATTCAGTGATCAAATAAATGCTTCTGCCTGGAATTGTGACCTTGGAGGGGGGTGAATCAGCTCCAAAAAATGAAGTGTCATGCATCTTCATGTGATCATCATAAAAGGAAGGAATGAAAAAGTCTCTTTGGGGGAAAGACAGCAATGTGAGATGTTACCTCAGTGTGGATAACAGAGGAGTCTGATGGTGCGTGAGGCAAGACTGGAAAGTCTTGCTGGGGAGGAAAAGCCATCTGTTCATTAGATGAAATGCAGGTGGTGAGTAGTGTTAGATATGTAAATAGAAGAATTTGGGACTGACTGAAAGCCAGTCATCAAGCCCCATCGTGGTGTAGAAACTGGCTGTGCTTCCACTGGATTGACCCACAGACACCGGGGAAGCATGAAAACGCATTTGGATATGGGGGCCCATGGAAAGCCATTCAGATACCAAAGGAGTTGTTATTTTAGCATAACTTTATGAAGGCCCTCAGGGTTGTGCAGAAAAGGCAGCCGTTCTGCTTTTCTTCTCTGCCTTCCTCTCTCTGGGACAGGTTTTGCTCAGAAGAGGAAAACTGATCAAAAGAGGAGCTGTGATCCGTGTTTATGTTTCCTTGAAAGGAAATGCAAATGGTGGATGAGCCAACCAGGAGAGGTGCGCTGCTGGATCTCATCCTCACTAACAAGGAGGGTCTGGTTGAAGGAGTGAAGGTTGAGGGCTGCCTTGGTTGCAGCGACCACGAGATGGTAGAATTCAGGATCTTGTGTGGTAGGGTCAGTATAATAGCAAGTAGAATCGCAACCCTGGACTTTAGCAGGGCAAACTTTGGCCTCTTCAAGCGATTGCTAGGGGAAATCCCGTGGGCTAGGCTGCTTGAAGGGAAAGGGGCCCAAGATAGTTGGTTGACGTTCAAGGACTGCTTTTTCCGAGCTCAAGATCGGAGCATCCCGACACGTAGGAAGTCAAGGAAGAGGGTCAGGAGACCTGCGTGGCTAAATAGGGAATTGCTCGGTATGCTCAAGTGGAAGAGGAGAGTTTACAGGTCATGGAAAGAAGGGCTGGCCAATTGGGAAGAATATAAGGCTGCTGCTAGAGGATGTAGGAAAGCTGCTAGGATGGCTAAGGCCTCCTTGGAATTAAAGCTGGCGAGAGGGGTCAAGGACAGCAGAAAGAGCTTTTTCAAATACATGGCAGGTAAAACTAACACCAGAGGCAATGTAGGCCCGCTGATGAACGGGACGGGTGCCCTGGTGACAGAAGATACAGAGACGGCAGAGTTACTGAATGACTTCTTTGTCTCTGTCTACTCTGCTGGAGGCAGTCCTGAAGAGCCCTGTACCGCTGAGACCCCGGATGAAGATAGGTCAACGGAGCGGTCTGCCTTAGTCGATGAGGAATGGGTTAAAGACCAGTTGAGCAATCTGGATATCCATAAATCCATGGGTCCAGATGGGATGCACCCGCGGGTGCTGAGGGAACTGGCTGAGGTCATTGCTAGACCGCTCTCCATCATCTTTACCAAGTCTTGGGAAACCGGAGAGGTGCCTGAGGACTGGAGGAAAGCAAATGTCACTCCTGTCTTCAAAAAGGGCAAGAAGGAGGACCCGGGTAACTATAGACCGGTTAGCCTCACCTCCATTCCTGGGAAAGCGATGGAACACCTTATCCTTGGTGCCATCTTAAGGCATATCAAGGATAAGAGGGTTATGAGGGGCAGTCAACATGGCTTCACCAAGGGGAAGTCGTGCTTGACCAATCTCATAGCCTTTTATGAGGAAATAACGCGGTGGATGGATGATGGTAGAGCGGTGGATGTGGTCTACCTCGACTTCAGCAAAGCGTTTGACACGGTCTCCCACAGCATCCTTGCGGCTAAATTGAGGAAGTGTGGTCTGGATGATCGGGTAGTGAGGTGGACTGTGAACTGGCTGAAGGAGAGAAGCCAGAGAGTTGTAGTCTATGGGGCGGAGTCTAGTTGGAGGCCTGTATCTAGTGGAGTGCCTCAAGGGTCGGTACTGGGACCAGTATTATTTAATATATTCATCAACGATTTAGATGAGGGAATTGAGTGTACTATCAGCAAGTTTGCTGATGACACTAAGCTGGGAGGGGTGGCCGACACGCCAGAAGGCTGTGCTGCCATCCAGAGGGACCTGGACAGGCTGGAGGGTTGGGCGGGGAATAACTTGATGAAATATAACAAGGGAAAGTGTAGAGTCCTGCATCTGGGCAGGAACAACCCCAGGTTCCAGTATAGGCTGGGGAACGACCTGTTAGAGAGCAGTGTAGGGGAGAGGGACCTGGGGGTCCTGGTGGACGACAGGGTGACCATGAGCCGACACTGTGCCCTTGTGGCCAAGAAGGCCAATGGCATCCTGGGTTGTATTAGAAGGGGGGTGGTTAGTAGGTCGAGAGAGGTCCTCCTTCCCCTCTACTCTGCCCTGGTGAGACCTCATCTGGAATATTGTGTCCAGTTCTGGGCCCCTCAGTTTAAAAGGACAGGGACCTGCTGGAGAGAGTCCAGCGCAGGGCAACTAAGATGATTAAGGGAGTGGAGCATCTCCCTTACGAGGAAAGACTGAGGGAGCTGGGTCTCTATAGTTTGGAGAAGAGGAGATTAAGGGGTGACCTTATTAGTGTATATAAATATATAAAGGGGGAGTGTCACGAGGATGGAGCCAGGCTCTTCTCAGTGGCAAACAATGAAAGGACAAGGGGTAATGGGTACAAATTGGAGCACAAGAGGTTCCACTTAAACCTGAGAAGAAACTTCTTCTCAGTGAGGGTGACGGAACACTGGAACAGGCTGCCCAGGGAGGTTGTGGAATCTCCTTCTTTGGAGACATTCAAAACCCGCCTGGACACGTTCCTGTGTAACCTTATCTAGGTGTTCCTGCTCCGGCAGGGGGATTGGACTAGATGATCTTTTGAGGTCCCTTCCAATCTCTAACATACTGTGATACTGTGATACTGTGAAAGCCTCTTGAGAGGTATAGTTGAGAAGCCCCAAGAGCAGCAAGGCATAATTGTTTCCTTTTCCACAATCACACCAGCAGTGGGTTGCCTGTTCAAGAGTTTCCCTCAGCTTGCCAGGTGGGATTAGGGGAAAGAACATCCAGCTCAAGAAAAATGATACTTAAATGGATGTCACCCCTTTGTATTAATTATTGATTGCAACAAAACCCCTAAGGTGGCCCCAAGCCTCCAGCTTCCCCTGGAAGTGCTGCAAGAAATTCCCCAGGCTGTCCAGTGAGGCCTTAATGGCAAATCTCCAGCTCAGCTGTGACAAATCCTGCTGGCTGTGGCTGGGGATCAGTAGCTGCTCATTAGCATAGTAATGAAGCCATTAAAACATCTTTGATTTCAGTAGGAGCAGGGTGCCCTGTTCAGGACCTGCTGGGGGATCACTTCTTAGTCTCTGCTTCCTCAGGTTTTGAAGTACGGAAGATTTTAATTTAGCATTGGGCTTTCCCTGAGTGTTGCTGGGGAAGCTCAGGAAAGAAAGGAGATGGGAACTCAGGAGGACACGATTTCAGAAACCACCAGTGGCAGGGACATTATTCACATCCATGAGCAATGTCTTGATGTGCTACAGTAGGTAGACGTCTCTAGAATCCACGTTGCCCCAAAGTCACATGAGTTGGTTACTTGGCTTGGGCAGCTTATATAGCGCAAAAAGAGACTTTGCAAGAAAGACAGAAATAGGTTAAAAAGTACAGAGAAGGTATTTACTAGTTTATGCATGTGCTGGTTAGCTGAGACTTGGGAGCTTCTATGCCAAGCAGTGTTCACTACCCCCCAGTGGACACCTGAGCAGAGTTCACCTCCTGGCCTGTCATTAGCCAGGTGGGGAGGGTTGACATCCATCATGCCTGGGAAGGGAACCTCAATCATGTTTCCAGTCCCCTTAGCCTTCTTTACTGCAGCTTCCTTCTCTGAATCTTTGAGCTGGGAGTAGATCCATCTTAACCACTATCCATCCCAGCCATCTCCGTATCTTCCTTAGCTCATGTGACTCTCCATGATGGTTTTCTCAGGTGTTTTAACTAAGGCTATGCAGCTGGGCTGGATCTGAAGGAAGCCCTGGGGTCAGCGGAACTGGGCCGACAGGAGCTGAGCTACAGGTAAGACCGAGCAAGCCCTCACTGGAGAGACAACTGCAGCAGGTGTGGGAGAACTGGCTGCCAAGTAGTGAGAAGATAAAAGGCTGGACCCAGCATAAGGACACATCTGAGTACACATGGAGACATGTGTATGGGGAAGTTCACCATGCAGTGGGAAGGAAAGCAGAGGCTCTACCAAGGTAAGATGTGATCAGGAATTTTGGGGGGGAGGATGAAGATCTATGGATACAGATGTGCTTACCAGAAGACTGATGTGGCTTTGAGTGCTGGAGTGGTGAAGGAGCCTGGGACAGGAGCCTTTGTGCATCCCCACATTTGGAGATGTGGATGGTGCTGAAGGCTGTTTTGTCAGGTCCTTGTTCCCTTTATTTTTCACGTAACCCAGTAAGTTGTGTACAGACCTCTGCTGGGAGGCTGGGCTTTAAGAAACATAAGGCCTCAAGCTTTTTCTGGGTAGAGTTGTGATCTATGGTATAAGAAGATCTACTTTCTCAAGCCCTGAAGAAAAACATTAAAATGGTGATGAGATTGAATGTTAATAGCTCGGCTGTAACGTAAATGTGTCTGTGCTACCAATACCCTTCCCTTGCTTGGTAGTGTTGAAAGCATGTCTCGAGTGCTGTTTGCTTGATGAGGATACCTGGGTTAGATCGATCATGTTGTGCTGCAGAGACACCTGAGTGCAATAGCTCCTGGCTAGTAGCATGCCCATTGCAGGGGGATGGTCAGCTGGAAATGGAGGAAGAAATGTGCCGTTGTCAAAAGGACTTTGAATTTTCCCAGGTGGGCTGTACATTCAGTAGGACATCTAGGTATTATTAGGAAAGGTTATGTATGTGTGTGCATATTAGGAGTCATGAGTTACAGGTTGTGTTGAACACCATTAAAGCTTATTATAGTTGTAGAAACCTTTGGTCCCTTTCCCCAGAGTAAATCTGCATACTGTAGTGTTACTGTGGTCTATAATTGTAAACAAATCAAGTCCTAATGGTTTCAAAAAGCAGCCCTGTGATTCAGCAGCCTGCAGCATACCCTGCGAAAGAATTGCTTCTAGGTTGCAAAGGAATTTATATTAGAACAAATAGTCTGTGTATATGTATATTTATATATAAACCATTTGGTCCCAGTTCCAAACTGACAGCAGGTGAAAATCAAACTCTTTTAAAATATTTTTAGTAATGGAAATTCTGCATTCCCCATTCCTGTGGCTGGGAAGTCTCTAGCCTCTTGTGCTGCCACTTTTCCCTTGTTGTGGCTGAGATGTTTAGCATTTGATCATGCCACAGAGAAGCAGCAGCGATTTGCCACTGGCACATGTCCTGACACTGCTAAAGAAAATAGAACAAATGATAAACATTTTGTGTGTCTGTGGTCACAAATACTCCTTTGGTTTATAATAGTTTGATATGATGTGTTTGTGTAAGGCTAATGTTTGGATATTGATCAAATATTGACTCTGTGCTTGTCCATAAATGTTCTCTTATTCCCCTGCTTGCAAATATAATGTCTTTTGTAGCGTGGTGCTTGAGCCTGCTGTGTTTATGACATCTGCAGTCTCATGGGTTTTCTGCAAGTGCTACTGATGGGGATCACAAAGGGAAAAGTACAAAAACCAGTTTTGTACTTCCACCCTTGTTCCCTGATATAATGTCAGTCTGAATAAACATAATGCAGGAACTGAGTCCTCTATGTGAGCGCAGGTAGCTGTGTCCCATCAAGCCCATGAAATGTGCTTACTCCTAGTTTGTCTGCCAGTATGGGTTTCTAAAATTTGTGTCATGAAGGAATTGCCAAAAAGTGTTTTAAACCAGCAGCTGGTGGCAGTACCAGTTGTGAAAATGTTTTTGTCTCCTTGTTATCGGAAGTGTGTTTTAATTCTGTAACCTGCTGGCGTGTCTTTCCCTTTGGCATATACTTCTTCAAAAGACGTCAACAGACCCAAGTGCTTATGAAGCTAATTAAAAGTTAGATTCCATGTTATACACAAAATTTCCCAACCTGCTCCCTGACTTCCTCTACCTTATCCCTCCTTTTCTATGATCTTTACTCGAGGTCTGGAAAAAGACAGGTTTATCATGGGCCTAATATGTTAGAAATAGGTAGTAAAAAGTAATTATTACTTGTTTTTTTTCCCTCATAAAACGTCCTTCTTAAGTAGGAGGCAATGAAGGCAAACCCTGACACTGCAGGTTTTCAGGTTTATGTAATATAGATTAAAAAATCAATTTCTGCAAAATGTCATGGGCAAGTTGTCCTTCATACAAAAACATAGCAGGTGACCAGTTTGTCATTGTCAGGACACATGACTGTCATAGAATGCAATGAAGTAAGATTTATTTGAAAATAAGACTTCTGAATATGTGCTTCACGGGCAAAATAAGAGCTGGGACAATGAAAATTAGTACCTGGGTGAATATTTTCATAGCATGGAAGTGTAAGTACCGTTAAAATTTGGGTTTTATTTTTTGGCAATTTTTCACTTCTTCCTCCCACAGTAAGCAAGCACTAAAATTGCCTGTTGTGGAAATGGCTTTCTCTAAGCTTTGACTTCCCAACCAGTTCTTATTACACCTTTAAGTATGTTCTAAAGTAATAGGGTGTTCCAATAGTAATGGTTTACATTAAATATAAATGAAAAGTAATAATTGGATTTACTGTATAAATCACTGACAGGAAGTCTTCTAATGCTTTCACTACTTATTTTAATAATATACTTAAAACTGTGTCACACCTGAAACCAGATCTTGCAAAACAAACAAGCAAACTCGAAAGCCAGATGTGCTTATTTTGCAGCACCTTTTTGTGGTTTATGTGTGTGCAGGAGAAGAAAAGTTTCCTTTCTCTTTTTTGGTTGTGTTTGGTTTTTTGTTTTGTTTCAGGATAAGTAAGTGAGATGGAAAACAGAGGACTTGCACAGTTATTTGTCTATTTGTTTTGGAAGGACACTCTGCACGAGGTTGCATGAGCTTAACATGCTGCAGCCTGCATGGATACCTACAGAATATAACCTATTTTTATTACAGGAAAAAGGGGCTTTTTGCAGTTCTATAGAGATCTTGAAGCAGTGGTGGAAATATAGCTGTTCAATCGCACATGGACTGTGGTGCTTGGGCTCTAATACTGGTGTAACTTCAGGAACCTGGTAGCTTCCTCAGGGGATGTAGGTTCAAACAAGGGGAAACCACCCAAGTGGTACAGTGTAAACAGCCATTGCCAAATGTTACAAAGCAAAGCAAATAGATGTGGTTTGTTGGTGTGCCCAAGAGAGGAGAACAGAAAGCAAAATTTTATCCATGTGGTTATAAACCATCCAGGAAAAAGACATTTCTAGGGACAAATAATATGTCATTGAATTAGGCTTTTGTCCTGTATGGAGTGAGAGATTTGTCATTAAATACTGCAGCTATCTCCTGGTCCTCCTGTGAGCCTGCGTATAGATGTGGAGTACATCTCCTTCAGGCACAAACTGTTAGGAATTAGCTGGGAGCTGATGGTTTGGCAATATTGGCATGAATCAAAAAATCCCACCTGATAAAGGAAAGCTGATGGTGAAAGGGAAATCTCCCTGTGGCTGGGTGCACACGTAAAGAAGGTGGGAACAATGGCACTGTTTTGTTTTCTTGGAGGGGACAAATATTGAACTATGCACATAAAATAGAGTAGGTCAGAAAAGTGGTATTGATCTTAGGATATAAGAGCATTGGTAAGAAAAATGGTAATAATTTGCACAAAATACTAGGCAAGTCTAGGTAGGAGACGTGGGGGAATGAGGCTTGGAGGTACTCTATTTTTATATATAAATACAACTTTTAAAAGGCATTGGTGGACCTTGGAAACTTTTCTGCTGGAAGACCAAGGAGGAAAATGAGCCTCCTGCAGGGTTATGATCTTATTGGCACTAGGGATATGTGGTGGGGTGGCTCCTATGACTGGAGCACTGGAATGGAAGTATACGGGATGGATGAGGAGGCAGTGTCACCCTCTATGTCAGTGACCAGCTGGAGCGCATGGAGCCCTGCTGATGGATGATGAGCGTATTGATAGGTCATGGGTCAGAATTAAAGGGCAGGGAGAAGCGACATTACAGTGGGGGTCTGCTACAGGTCGCCAGCCCAGGGAGACTGAGCGGATGACCCCCTCTACAGACAAAATTTCACAAGCTCTGGTCCTCATGGGGGACTTCAACCACACTGATATCTGTTGGAGGGAAAACAAAGTAGGGCACTAGCAATCCAGGAGGTTCCTGGAATGTGTTGATGATAACTTCCTTCTCCAAGTGATAGAAGAGCCAATGGGGAGAAGTGTTATGCTGGATGTTTTTCTCATCAACAAGGAGGGGTTGGAGGGAAACGTGAAGCTTGAGGGCAGCCTTGGCTGTAGTGACCACGGAATGGTGGAGTTTGAGATCCTTAGGTTGGTGAGAAGGGCCTACAGCAAGCTTTTTACCCTGGACATCAGGAGAGCAGACTTTGGCTTCTTGAGAGATCTGTTTAGTAGAGTAAAATGGGATGAAGGGACCAAGAAAGCTGATTAATATTGAAGGATCACCTCCTCCAAGCTCAGGAGCAGTGCATCCCAACAAAGATGAAGTCAAGCAAGAATACCAGGAGGTCTATGAATGAACAAAGAACCCCTGGACAAACACCAGCAGAAAAAGAAAGCCAACGGAGGGTAGAAGCAATGACAGGTATCTTGGGTGATATACAGAGAAATAGATGATCAAAGTGTTGGAGCACCTTTCCTGGGAAGCCAGGCTGAGGAAGCTGGGCTTGTTCAGCTTGCAGAAGAGAAGGCTCCAGGAGACCTTAAAGCAGCATCCAGTGCCTAAAGGAAGCCTACAACATTGATGCAGAGGGACTTTCTACAAGGCTATGTAATCATATGAAAAAATGGTTAAGGCTTGAAACTCAGAAAGGGTAGGTTCTGATTTGATATTGGGAATAAATTCTTTACTATGAGAGTAGTGAGGCACTGGCATAGGTTGCTCAGAGAAGCTGTGAATGGCCCATCCCTGAAAGTGTTCAACATCAGGTTGGACAGGGCTTTGAGCAACCTGGTCTATTGGAAGATGTTCCTGCCCATGACAGGATGTGGGATCTTTAAGGCCTCTTGCACTCCAGGCCATTCTGTGCTTCTATGATTTTTCATAATGCAAACAAAGTTGGCACTTTTAAGCCAG